GTGTCACATGTGGCTAGCGATGGAGACTCACGGGAAGAGACATGCATTAGGGAGCGTTCCCTACACAGCAGAACTGAGTTTATCTGATTCAGTCTCGTAACCTGGGAACTGGATCTAAATGTTTGATTAGGTTCAGTTTCACCATTTCAGGCAGGAATGCTTGCTGGAGGGTGAGTACTCCACATCATGCCACATCAGGGGCTGTGTGCTGTTTGCTGCCCCCTTTCAGGATTGATGAGATGGGTTAGTGGGTTCAGGTGGGTTCACCCTCAGCCTCCCACCATGGCCTGATCATTTGGAACCTAAGTATCCTGTCCCTCAAGAACCTCCCACCCAATCGTCTTACAATGATTTTCTAATTTCATTTCTTCTATATTTATCAGCTAAAATTCTCGTCAACAGGGGCTAGTATTTCCCTAAAATACAGTTCATTCTGGAGAAGAATAAATGCTTAATTCTTCCTCCTTATCTATCAACCTTCAGAGTAAGAAGCCAATAAAATCTCAACCTCCAATGGTAGCAAATGAGGGCTTTCTTTTCTTCTGCTGAGACTCATTATAAATTCCTGGATTTTCAAATATTCATTGCATTCCAATCCGTTGCAATCCATATTCTTTCCGTGGCTTAAGTCTGCAGGGTTAGCTTCAGGATGGCTCCATTAGTTTTGGGCAACTCCCTCATTTGGGCACAGTATGATTTTCCAGGCTCCTCTTCCACCTACTCTGCCCCAGACCTAAAATCAGCCATGTCTCCAAGGAGCCCTGATTTCTCTTCATGGGGACAGTATTTAGGGACCCCAATCTGTGCACTAGTAAGTGGTGGGGCTGAGATTTGAACTCAGGCAGTCTGACTTCAGAGCTGGTGCTGTTAACCTCTCTGACGTCTGGTTAACAACAGGTATAAGTAGTAATTATAACTATTACTCCTATTGCTATAACTGGCCACTCACTATGTGTCAGATACCTTGGTAGGTGCTTCCCAAGATTTAAAAAACAAAGTTATTCTAACAACCCTCTGAGATAGGCATTGTTACTCTTATCCTAGAAAAGAGGAAACTGAGGCTCTGAAAGGTCAGTGACTCATCCAAGGTCACCGGGTCAGCGGAAGAGCATAGATGCAAACTGAAGTCTGTGTGACTCTAAACCCTCCAAGAGCTCCCCGTGGGGGTTATAGAAACATAATAACCCTGGCATCTGACACTCACACGACACTTGCTTGTTAGGTGCCAGGTGCTGCTCTAGGCACTTAAATTACAATAACTTATTTAATTCTCACAACATCCCTATAAAGCAAATACTACTATTGTCACCCCATTTTACAGATGAGAAAACTGAGGCACAGAGAGGTTAAATACTTTGTCCAAGTTAACATGGATTAAAACCCAAACTCTTTTCTCAAGTCCTGGAACTCTCCACAGCCCCGGTCTTTACATGGCTGCCTCTAGCTTATCAGTTGTATCCTAGCACAGATGTCATCTTCTCAGAGAGAGCTTCCCAGATCAGCCAGTTTATAGCGTCTCCCCACTCTCTACCACACCATCCTCTCTTGTTTTCACATCACTTCCCATTTTATTAAATGCGCTTATCTACTCCTTCTCTTACATTCTCCCTTGTTTCTGTCCTGGCCCCATCCTCTGCCGAGGTGTCAGCTCCTGAGAGCAGGGACCACGACTCTTGTTCACCTCTGAATTCCAGCACCTGGAAGAGGTGGGTACCGGCTCAATAAACATTTGTTAGAATTGAGGGAGGAAAAGAGGGAGGGAGAGAGGGAAGAAAGAAGGGATAAAGCCTCCTTCAATATTCCCCTCCCATGCCTAGAATGAGGCTGGGTCCTGGAGGAAGAATGGAGGACAAAGAGGAGTGTGATTACGAGAAACCCCGGCAAGGAACTTGGGGGCCTGGGACCCCTCAAGGTACAGCCAGACCAGGCCCCACACTCAGCTGGGAGAATGTTCTCCTGATTAGGGTTGTCAGATTTGGCAAATAAAATACAAGATGCTCAGTTAAATTTGAATTTCAGATACACAGTGAATAAATCTTTAGTTTAAGTATGTCATGTGCAATATTTAGGATATACGTATATTAAAAAACTGTTTGCTCTTGATCTGAAATTCAAATTTGCTGGACATCCTGTATTTTATCTGGCCACCCTATCCCAGATCCTCTCTTTGCGCTAGTGCAACAAGAGATTCTCCTGAGCACTGGCTTTTTCTGTACGGAACGTTTTGTTTTTACTCCCGAATAAGGAAGTGCAATCTCTTTATTGATCTAACAGAAGGAGAATGTCTGTGGAACCAGCAGCTTGTTAGAGGAGATTGGCTCCTGCGGGTGGATAAATACTGTGGGGAGGGCAAGGCAGATGCTTTGTCCTGAGCTCAAAGTGGCTTTCAGAACCTGCTTGTGCCCTTGTGTGGACTTTCCTTCCCTGGCCCAGAGGTGGGCTTGAGTGGGTGCTATTGAAGAGGGCAGGAAGGGAACTGCTTGGCCAGGGAGGGGATTTATGGGTATGTGGGCTTATTCCAGAGATTCGCTCATTCATTCAGTCCCACCAAGCAGCTGGTGGCAGGAAGTCAGAGATGAATGGTCCTGGGTGCTGCCCTGGAGGCTCTCCAGAGACGGAGAGATGGGTTTGGACCCCAAGGCCAACGAGTGATGCCTGCTTCCAAACCTGTCTTCATAGTTGAATAGGAAGCGTGCATTTCTTTCCCTGTCTTGTCTCTCTCTCCCCTTCCTTCCCCATTCCTTTTCTCTTTTCTCATCTCCTCTCTATCCTTTTCTCACCTCCCCAGAGTTTTGCCACCTTAAACCTTGTAGCCAACTAGTACCATAAAAGAACAATTACTGGTGCACTCAGGCTTGGGATCTGGTCTTGGTCTCATTTCCTTTGTCTTCCCAAGCCTACCCCATCTCCTTGCATCCAGGACTAGGCAATGCATCCAGCACAGCCTGGATCCAATACATCCAGCGTAGCCTGGAGTTCATTTACATGCCCCTTTCTAATTGGCTGATAGAAACCCACTGCCTCCCCTAACCTGCCACTCCCCACCTTCCTGTTGGAGCCCCACTAGGTCTAGCATCCTGGGATCCTTAGACCTCTGCCCTGCGGCCTTGTCTACTCAGTTATTTCTCCATAAAATGTCAGTGGGTGATCCCTTCTGGTTTGGGGTTAAAAGATCTAGATTCAACGTCGGACTTTGCCACTGACAAGCTGTGTGATCTTGAATGAGTCCTTTTGCCTCTCTGAGACTCAGTTCCTACATCTATAAAATGGGAATAATTCTCATGATGGGGTCCTTATAAGAATATTCTGTAGTACTTAATATGGACGAAAGCCAGACTGCCCAAGTCAAATCCTTCCTCTTCCACTTACTAGCAGAACGCACTATGCCAGTTATCTATTTATTTCTCTTTCCTCATTTGGTTGGAGTGAGTCTGAAATAAGTCAACATACGTAAACACATCTAGAACAGTGCTTTGCATACAAAGTGCCTAATAAATGTCAGCTATTGTTGTGATGGATATTAAAGTCCTTTGTCCAAATGCTGTTAATATCATTATTGCCCAATGAGTCTTTGGGCACAGGCTGGGAAAAATCAATTTAATATATCTCTGACTCAGGGGCCAGAGTTCCTTATGAAGAGAGCCCAAAGGAGTGAAGCCTTAACCTCTCTGAGCCTCCTTGTCTTCATCTGTAAAATGGCAATAGCAGCCTCACTTCTGCCTACTTCACAGGGACGCTCTGACTGGCCAATGGTAAGCACTTAAAAAAAAAAATTATGAAGGAATGAATACATGGACCACAGCGGGAAGCAGTGGCAAGCTGCAGGGGTCTTCCCTGAGTAACTGACTTGCTGTATGCTGACTTGCTGCCCACGAGACATGATGTGAAGGAGGCCCACATCAGGCAGCCTATCGATGAGTGCTGAGTTGAGCAGACAGACTGAGTGGTGCGATGGTCAACACTTCACATCTGGGTAACGGGCACTCGTACTCACTTGGTGAGAGTATAAATGTATCGGTACAGCCCTTTTGGAAAATCACATAGTGCTAGCTATCACAGTGTTTAAAGAACACACAAATTCACCTAGCAGTTCCATTTACAGGAAATCATCCCCCAAATATTCTGGCTCAAGTGTGCCAAGATTTATATAGATAGTGTGTTCCTTGCAACTGTTTGCAATAATGAAAAACTGGAAACAACCTAAATGGTCCTCAGTATGGGTGTACATAAGTAAATTGTGGTATATCTGTATTATGGACTATGTAGCTATTAAAAGGAACGAAGTAAATCTATATGTATTAACATGGAGAGGTCTCAGGATGTATGTAAATAAACCCACAGAAAACCTCAAGTTGACAGAGGTATGCATTTAATGTATCAACATTTGTGGGCAAAAAACCCTGTATCTGTGTATCTGCACAGGAAATATCTGGAAGGCTACACGCCAAAGTTAAGATGATTAAATTAAATTAACCATCCTATTTGATAAAAGAGCTCCTATTTTAAGGCCAGAGGCCCTATGTGTAGTCTGGTCAAAGAAATTGCGTGACTCAGAGAAACTCTATTCACTTTTTTGAGCCAAAGCTTTCTCTTGTGTAAACGAATAATGATATTTACCTCTCAGTATTGTGATGGGGTGAGATGAAATAATGGATGTGAAAACCCCGGCTATAATGAGCAGAGACAGCTCATTATAGCAATCAGGGAGGGCGACCGGAAGGAAGAGGCAGGAGCCCAGACCTTGAAAGGTTTGGCAAGGCCTGGATTTAGTTTGACTTTAGGCTGTCTCTTCCTAACATTCAACAGGTATTCACTTATTAATGGTACAGTACAAAACCCGCAAGTGGGTTTTTTAACCACACATCTGCGCAAGGAGGCGTAGCGTAAGTCTGGCGCGTGCGCAAAGAGAGCACCTTCGGTTGCGCTTCGGCCACGTCCTACAACTCCCAGCACGCTCCGCACCCGCGTCGGGCGCGTCGCCGACTGCTGACGTAGCTCTGTAGCGCGGGGAATTTCGAGTGGCAGTGGAGCGCTGGAGACCAGTGGGTCGCGGACCCTCCACCTTCTTTAGGGGAGGCTATGGACTCCCTAGTAGAGCCCCGGTGGCCTCCGGGCCTGGCAGTCATGAAGGTGAGTGCTTCGGGGAGGTCGGGGGCGTACGACGTCCGCGGGAGGCCAGCCCCGCCTTGAGGAGGAGAAAGGACGAGGCGCCGGCGCCGAATTGGGCCAGGATTCCCGGCTCTGCGTTGCCATTTGCCACCGCGTGGATCTGGGCCTCAGTTTCTTCCTCTCCTGGGAAGTACCGGGGACAGGCCTTCGTCCCTTATGGTGAGCCTAGGTTGGCTGTCGTATGGGACGGGGTATTCTGCCGTTCAGTCACAACAATCACAATGATGTGGAAAGAAACACTTACTCTAAACGGTGGAAACGACAGTGATACCTAATCCTTTCTTAGAGCTTACTGCGTGCCAAGCATTATGTAAACTCTCCCAGTACTTTAGTGAAGAATCTCCCACAGTGACACCGGACACGGTTTGGAGTGGAGCTTGCATCAGAAAACATTTATTTAATCACCTAGCAAAGCGGGCAGTCTCCTTTACATTCTCATTCATTTCTTCTAATTACTTTCAAGAAGCCTAGTGCTACTTTGCCCTAATTCCTCCCTAACGCGTCCTAACTCTTGATAGTTGTGCATCCTCTCTTTTAAACAAAGAAATCAGGACTCACGTTTAGCACTAGCCTTTTTTTTTTTTCGGCACGCGGGACTCTCACTGTTGTGGCCTCTCCCGTTGCGGAGCACAGGCTCCGGACGCGCAGGCTCAGCAGCCATGGCTCACGGGCCCAGCCGCTCCGCGGCACGTGGGATCATCCCGGACCGGGGCACGAACCCGCGTCCCCTGCATCGGCAGGCGGACTATCAACCACTGCACCACCAGGGAAGCCCTAGCCTTTCATTTTATTGAAGTCTTTCACTCAAATAACATTGATTTTTGTGGCTACTTTGTTTTTGGCAATGCATTCCTGTTTCCATGGACGGTAGTGGTGAGTCCTGGATTCCTACTATGTTTGGTCAAGAGCAAACACACCATTCTGTACTAGCTAAAATCAGTTGCTTGGTTTTTCTCCTTGTTCTGTGATTATTTCCGTTTGTGACTGAGCAAAATCATGTTCTTCTGTTACTCAGTTTTGTAAACTACGGATTATGGTATCTGCCCCACTGACTCATAAGGTGACTTTGAGAATTAAGTGAAGGGACTTGGGGGAGGTTAAAGTAAGTATAAGGGCTTGTTCTACCTGCCATCATCAGTGTTATCTACAGGGCTTGGTGACTGAAGATCTCCCCATGTTGAAGAGCTGACATTGTGGAAGGATCTGGGAAAGCCGTGGTTTTGCAGTTGTGGTGGCTTTGGCTCCAGTGTGCAGTGGAGAAGAGCATAGATTTGAGTTGCAATGGTTCTGGCTTAAATTTAGTCTCTGCCTTCTGTTTAACAGTGTGACCTTGATTCAGTTACTTAACCTCTCTGAGCCTGGGTTGCCTCAACTATAAACTGGAGACAGAAATAGTTTATAAGGTTGGTTAAATGAGTTGATGTGTGTGGATAGGGATCCTGTCTGGCTTATTCACTGTGCCTAACACAATGCCTGGCAAGTGGTGGGTGCTCAAAAATTATTTGCTAATTGATTGAAGGTATCTAGAAGGTAGTAAGCATTAAATCAATATATCTTTATTATTATTATTAATGCTTAACATGTGTTAAGTATTTCTCCCCCTGCTTTTTAGTGGTTGTCATGAAGTTTATGAATTGGATAAGGGAAGGGAAAGCTTCCCCCTTCCACTTTCTCTAAGTTGAGGAAATCCCAGGGCATCCACTGGACTGAACATCTGTGCATGCAAGAATGTTATAGCTCATCGGATGCGGTATCACTTCCACAGATCCTGCTCAGCACATCTGTCAGAACCACTCCTCCAGGAGAGGACGGTGATAGAGAAGAAAGCAAATAGACCAGGTGTCAGGGCTTTGGCTTCTGGTCCTGCCTCTGCTCTTGACTGATTTTCAACACAATCCTCTAGCTTTTTGTGTCAGTGGTAGCTTACCATCCAAAGTAATGGAAGATTTGGGCATTTGAATGTTTATTTCTCTGGTTTTACTGTAACAAACATTTGTTTTTGACAGATTATAAATGTAGAATGTGTATATAGTAGAAAAAAATTAAAATTCACAGTAAGATAAAGGAGGAAATGCAAGTTACCTGGCATCCTACCATCTAGAGAGAACCGCTGTTTAACATTTCCTCTTATTGTTCTTCAGTTTTTCTCATGTGTGATCATGCACACACGTACCCACAATGTGTATATGCATTTAAAATTTGGGATCACCTTGGAGTCAACCTCTCGGATTTGATCCAACGCCTTATAAGCTCTATAGGCTTCATCTAAAAAATTGGCATATAGATGCTATAGACCTCCTAAGATTGTTAAGGAGATTAAACTACCTAGTTCTGTTGTTATGTATTATTGTTGTAGGTTTGTTCTCTGATTTTTTTTTGTTTGCATTAAAACATGAACATTTTTCCATGCATTAATTATTCTTTGAAAGCATGTTTCCTTTAATGGCAACAATATTTCATATGTGAACTATTAGAGACATTAGTCTTTTTGTTTGTTTGCATTTTTAAAATTTAGGTCATACACTCATGGTTCAAAAAGTACGCGAAATAAAAAGTAAAAGTCTTCCTCCACACTTGTCCCTCATCTGTCCAGTTTCCTGACCCCTTTGACTATTATTTGTTACGTTCTTGTGTTCAGATTTGCATTCAGATTTATATTCTTATTCCCTCCTCCCTTTTTAACAAAAGGTCACAGACAGTGTGTACTGCCTGTACCTTACTTCCTTTTTTCACTTTTCTTGGCAGTCTTTCCATACCAGTACATAAGAGAGCACGCGCGCGCTCTCTCTCTCTCTCTCTCTCTTTTTCCTCTTAAATATCTGCTCAGTATTCTTTTGAATGAAATAACATTTTAGGGCTTCCCTGGTGGCGCAGTGGTTAAGAGTCTGCCTGCCAATGCAGGGGACATGGGTTTGAGCCCTGGTCGGGGAAGATCCCACATGCTGCAGAGCAACTAGGCCCGTGTGCCGTAACTACTGAGCTTGCGCTCTAGAGCCCGCACGCCACAGCTACTGAAGACTGCGTGCCACAACTACTGAAGCCTGCGCGCCTAGAGCCTGTGCTCCGCAACAGGAGAGGCCACCATAATGAGAAGCCCACGCACTGCAACGAAGAGTAGGCCCCGCTCGCCACAACTAGAGAAAGCCTGCGTGCAGCAACGAAGACCCAACGCAGCCAAAAATAATAAATAAATAAATTTATAAAAAGAAAAGAAATAACATTTTAAATGATTTAGAAGATTTTAGGTTGTGAGAGAGATCCTTTCGTTTTTGGGTTTCATTCCAGATGGACGCACATCTATCTGACTTTGCAGATTGCCTGCCTCTTCCCCTCCTTTTGCTGTCACTGGCGCCAGCTCTTTCCAGGGCTTCCTCATCTGGCTCCACCCTGTAGTACTGTACAGTACCGAGCAGAAAGCACTGGATTGACGGCCGGTAGACGGGAAGTTTTGTCCTGGCTTGACTCATGTGCTGTGAGCCTGCTCTGGATACAAGTTTACTCATTTGTGAAGTAAGGGTTTTAACTGGATAATTTCTAGTGTTTCTCTTTAATATTCTCTGATCTGGTTCTTACCCTGTGTGGTGAATGGCTGCTGGTACCTTTCACCCCCGCAGTGACAGTGGGCCAGGGAATGGGGTCTGAAGAGGAGGAGGCTTGGAGGAGGAACTGGAAATACATGGCAAGTAGAAGAGAAATAGAGTAGCCCTTTTGTGACGGGCTGGCAATATGGAGTGGGATTCTGTACAGTGTCAGCTTTATCTTTCTGAAGTGTTCTCTATAACCTAAGATTTGAATAAGTCATATGGGGGAGGTTTTCTCTCCCCTGCAGTTTATGTGGACTTAGCTTTTGAGTTTGAATATTTGACGAAGAAGTATTATTAAATTATTTTTTTAGGGAATGGAGAAGGAGTTCTGTGGCAGATGTTCCAGTCTTGGTGGCTTTCTGATAGGTGTGTATGTATTTATGCATTTCAGACAATAGATGATTTGCTGCGCTGTGGAATTTGCTTTGAATATTTCAACATTGCAATGATGATTCCTCAGTGTTCACATAACTGTAAGTATGTATTGTTTCTCTGAGTTACAAAAATGTGGTTTTTTATGTAATGTAGTATTATTTTAACACCAAAGATAAGTACACATTTGTTATTTATTTCTCACCTTTAGCTCCTCTATCTTGAGGTTTTAGCATGGTCTTTTCCATGACCTCCCTCTTAAATATTGAATATTTTTTACAAGGCTCCTATATTTTCTACCACCTCCCTCTTGGATACTTTTATGCCTTTTGTAACATTCACAGGAATAAAGATTTTGATCACTATATATTGTTATTTGCCCGGCACTTTTAGATGTTAAATTTCAGATTTTTCATTTTTAGCAGGATAGGAGATAGGTGGTTCAACCAAGTAGTCCTTGGCATAGAATTTTAAAGTTAAAAAATTCCACTGGGAGAATTCTGCAACTGAAGAGTATTGCAGACAGTTTTATCACTTAACTTGCTGTGTGATGGTGGGAAGACTCATATATTGAAATGTGCTTGTACTTCTCTTCGTGAGTCTAGTATGTACATAGTTTTTATACTGTGGTTTGACGTATTTAGTGCATGGGGTGCACTTATTGTTCTGGATTTAGCCATCAGTTTATGGATTATGTAGGCTTATGATCGTTCTTATTCTCTATTTTCGAGTTGATTTTCCTTGGAAAGTTTAAAAAAAAAAGTTAGGCTTAAAATATGGTTTTAGTGGATAGTGGTAGCTTTGGTGAAAAAGTTTCCATAGGGAAGACATAATAAGAGGATGGTGGTGGTAGCAACATGGGCATTAGAGATAAACTTAGGCTTGACTCTTAGCTCTCCACTTATTAGGTGGGTGAGATTGCAAACGCTCACCATTTCTTCAGATGTGAAACCCTGGTGAGTAGTTTCTGCCTTAGGAGATGGTTGTGAGAATTAAATGCACAGAGTCCAGTGTCTGGCACGTTATAGGGCCTTAATAAATCTTAGTTTCCTTCTAGGCTAGATTCATGTTAGGAACCAAGATAAGTTTTGGGGATTGTTTCTAAATATGTGTTAAAATCACCTTTATTTAGGTATGATTTATATGTAGTAAAAGGCATCCATTTTAAGTGTGCAGTAAAATGTACAAGTGTCAACGAGTTTCAACAAATGTTTATACCAGGTAATGACTACAATTAAGGTACTAAACATTTCTATCACTTGACAGAGTTCTCCCCATTATCAGTCAGTATGGCCCCAGGGAATTATATGTGCGTCTGTTTCTGGATTCTCTTCTATTTCATTGATTTTTATGTCTATCCTTGTGCCAGTACTACACTGTCTTAATTACGGTAGCCTTCTAGTAAGTCTTCAAGTCAAGTATTGTAACTACGCCAACGTTGTTTTTCTTTATCAAGATTGTTTTGGTTCTTTTAGGATCTTTGCATTTTATATGCATTTCAATATAAATTTTAGAATCAGGTTGTCAGTTTCTACCAAGAAAAGCCTGCTGGGATGTTCCTTGGGATTGCACTAAATCTAGAGATCCATCTGAGGATATATGACTTTTTTTTTTTTGAGATTTATTTATTTTTTATTTATTTTTGGCTGCGTCGGGTTTTAGTTGCAGCATGTGGGATCTTTGTTGAGGCATGCGGGATCTTTCGTTGCAGCATGTGGGCTTCTCTCTAGTTGTGGTGTGCGGGTTTTCTCTCTCTAGTTGTGGCGCACGGACTCTGTAGTTGTGGGGTGCAGGTTCCAGGACGCATGGGCTCTGTAGTGTGTGGCACTCAGGCTCTAGTTGAGGCGCGCAAACTCAGTAGTTGTGGCACTCGGGCTTAGTTACCCTGCGGCATGTGGGATCTTCGTTCCCTGACCAGGGATTGAACTTGCTTCCCCTGCATTGTAAGGCAGATTCTTTACCACTGTACCACCAGCGAAGTCCCTATGACATCTTAACAGTGTTGTCTTCAATGTAAAAATGTTGTCCTAAATTAGAAATAAATCCCAGAAAATAGTCAGGATTATCTTAAAGCAAAAGGACAGCTTTATTGCTTGCAAGGTTTGCAAACAGGGGATATGCAGCCTTTGGCTGTAACCTAAAGTACCTTTGGGTGTAGGGGGTAAAGAGAGAGGGATTTTTAAAAACAAACTGTAGAAGTCACAGTTGGGAGACTTGTAGAGAGGATTGGCTGGCCCCTGCCGCCTGACCACAAGTCCTTGAAGCTTGACTATAGTTTTTGATGATTGGCTTGGTCATCAGAGCTTCTGGTTGGGGACGTTTCCAGGTAGGACCTTTAGCAGAATCAGAAGTCATAGTTTTCTGTTCTTGGTTTTAATGAGAACATAGAGTACGTGACTGAATCCGGTCTGTCATGACTGCCTGGCTCCGTTTTATTTTGAGTCCCTGTTAGCCACACTGGGCCCATTTTCTAAGTTCCTTACACAGGGATTCCTCTTATTTTTACTTTTCCTTAGGGGATTTTATTTTTATATGAACATGGTGTGTTCCTCCATTCTTTAGCTCTTCTTTATTTCTCTCCACAGTGCTGTTAGTTTTCAGTGCACAGCCCTTGCACATAGAAATAACAGTTTTTTTTATTGACTTTTTATCCTGTGATCTTGCTAAATTCACTTTTTAATTCCAGCATCTTTTTTGTTGATTCCTTAGGAATTTTTATATACACAGTCATGTCATCTGTGAATAAAAACAGTTTTACTTCTTCCTTCCTTAATCTGCATGCCTCATATTTCTAGTTGTTAGACAGGCTAAGTACCTCTAGTAGAATGTTAAAAAGAAGTGGTGTAGGTGAATATCCTTTCTTTATTCCCAGTTTAATGGGGAAAGCTTTCAGTCTTTCAGGCATAATGTTAGCTGTAAGTTTTATCGTATTCTTAATACATTTTTATAAATTTATCAGGTTGAGGCAATTCGTCTATGCTCTGAATTAGCTGAGAGTTTTTTTTTAAATCATGAATGGTTACTGAATTTTGTCAAGTTTGTTTTTTTTGCATGTATAGAGATGCTCATATGATTTAATTCCTTTATTTTAGAATATGATTAATTACACTGATTTGTTTTTAAATGTTACAACAACCTTGAATTCCTTTCAATAAATTTGTCCATTTAATCTAAGCTGTTGAGTTTATCAGCATAGAGCTTGAAAAATGCTACTCCCTAGGGACTTCCCTGGCAGTCCAGTGGTTAAGACTCTTCCCTTACACTGCAGGGGGTGCGGGTTTGATCTCTGGTCAGGAAAAGAAGTTCCCACATGTCATACTGCAACGGCCCAGAAAAAAACAAAACAAAACAAAACAACCTACTCCCTACTGTCCTTCTCTTGTCTGGAGGATATGTAGTGATATTCCCTTTTATCCATATGCTAGAAAGGTGTGTTTTCTTTTTTTTTCCTTGATTAATCTAGCTAAAGGTTTATCAATTTTATTGCTGTTTTCAAAGAACCAACTTTTGGTTCATTGTTTTCTGTATTTTATCTTTTTTCTATTTTATTGATTTACACTTTCAAAATCTTTATTATTTCCTTTCTTTTACTTATATGAGTTTAATTTGCTCTTATATTTCTAACTTTCTAAGGTAGAAGATGAGATCGATATTAGACCTTCTTTTCTAATATAAACGTTTAAAGCTATAAATTTTCCTTTAAGCCCTGCTTTAGCTACATCCCACAAATTTTGATATGTGAGTTTTCATTTTTGTTTAGTTTAAAGTGTATGCTAATGTCCTTTTTGATTTATTTTTTGACCCATGAGTTATTTAGAAGTCTTTAGTTTAATTTCTAAAAATTTGGGAGTTTTCCTGCTATCTTCCTGTTATTAATATCTAATTTAATTATGTTCTTTTCAAAACTCAAACAATTATGTCCAATTTCAGTTTTTAAATCAAACTGAGACTTGTTTTATGGCCCACAATATGGTCATTCTTGGTTAATGTTTCACGTATACTTTAAACGAATGTCTATTCTAGTTGGGCGGAGTGTTCTATGAATGTCAATTAGATCAACTTGGTTGATACTGCTTTTTAAATCTTCTGTATCTGCTGGTTCTCTGTGTATTATTTTATCAGTACTGAGAGAGGAGTGTCGAAATCTCCAAATATAATTGTGGATTTGTCTGATTTTTCTTTTTACTTCTGTAAGTTTGTGCTTTATATATTTTTGAAGCATTTTTATTAGGCACATACACATTTATGATTATTTTGTCTTCCTGGTGAATTGACTGTTTTGTGATTGTGAAGTGGCCCTCTTTATCCCTGGTAATGTTCTTTGTTCTAAAGTCTTCTTTTTTCTGATACTAATATAGTCACTCCCACTTCTTTAAGATTAGTGTTTTCACGGTTTGTCTTTTTCCATCCTTTTACTTCTCATCTACCTGTGTCTTGATATTTATATTGGACTTTTTAAGACAGTATATATTTTGGGTCTTCCCATTCAATCTAGTCTGAAAATATCTATTTTTACTTGGAATATTTAGACATACACTGTATAATATAGTAGCTGCTAGCCTCATGCGGCTATTTATATTTCAGTTAAAATTAATTAAACTTAAATAAAATTAAAACTTTAGATTCCCAGTTCCACTAGCCTCATTTCAAGTGTTGAATAGCACATGTGGCTAGTGGCTGCTATCTTGGATAGTGCAGATATAGAACATTTCCATCATTGCAGAAAGTTAATTATTGGTAAGGCTGGATCTAGATATCCTACCTTGCTTTCTGTTTTTTATTTACTCATCTATTTTTTCTTCTCTTCCAGCCTTTTAAAAAAAATTGAACATTTAAAAAATATTAAATCTTTTCCACAGTTGACTTATTAGTGCTACTTCTTTGTTTTATTATTTTAGCGGCTGTTTAAAATAGGCATCTTTAAGTTATTACAGTCTCCCTTTGAACGATATTATACCACTTGACTAGTGTAAAACTGTTACAGCTGTGCACTT